TACTGTTGGAAGAGGAAAAAGAAAAAAATTATATAAAACCATGAAAACAAAACATATAAACGAAGCAATATCAACATTTACAAAGGGTTGTGAAATTAAAATTTGTCAATAATAAACACAATCGTCAAAATCGTTCGTTGATCATTTTGTATCAGATTATTTCCTCATATATTTACAAAACGATTGCTCAGCAAGACATTTATCAAAAAATTAATCTGTTCGAGTTAATCTTTTACCCGTAAACACTTATTACCGCGTATTTCGATTAAAGACGATTACGACGGGGAGAGCAAATTGAAACGGCCGCTTTTGTGTGTAACGAAAATTTAAGGCCTCTGCTGTATTCTATAGGGGTAATGAGAAAATCGCGAGGCGAACTGCCATATTTATGCGCAATAAAAGCTCCAACGGCCAATATTTGAGCCTTCACGGACAAACGACAAATTTGGCAGCGAAACGCTTACTGCACCGTAAAAGGCAACTTTGCGTCGTTCGGAAATTGATGGGGCGTTGTCAATTTGTATTACGTGAATAAAACCCCAAACCGTAACTTTCTGTATTGTGCGCCATTAGAAAGACGTCATTACATATTCGGTGAACGAGTTGGGAAAAGTTGGAAAAGCGTGTTAATGTTTGACCAAAATAACTTGTATACGTTTTGCTATGAAGTTGAAAAACGCCTGAACGTTGGCCAGCAAGTTGGAAAAACGTGTGTACGTTCAACCAGAAGATGACAAAACTTATGAACGTTTAGTCAACAAATTGGGAAAATATATATACGTTTTGTTAAGAAGTCGAAAAACGTCTGAACCTTAGTCAGCGAGTTGAGAAAACGTGTGTACGTTCAACCAGAAGTTGGCAAAACGTATAAACGTTTAGTCAACAAATTGGGAAAATATGTATACGTTTTGTTAAGAAGTTGAAAAACGCCTGAACGTTGGCCAGCGAGATAGGAAAATGGTGTACGTTCAACGAGAGGTTTGCATAACATATAAACGTTAAGTCAAAAAATTGAGAAAATATGTATACGTTTTGTTAAGATGTCGAAAAACGTCTGAACGTTGGCCAGTAAGTTGGGAAAACGTGTGTTTGCAAAGCGTATGAACGTTTAGTCAACAAATTGGGAAGATATGTATACGTTTTGTAAAGAAGTTGAAAAACGCCTGGAGATTGGCAAGCGAGTTGGGAAAACGTTTGTAATTTCAACCAAAAGTTGGAAAAACGTATGAACGTTTAGTCAAAAAAATTGGAAAAATATGTATACGTTTCGTCAAAAAGTTGAAAGCCATGTGGATGTGGTCAACGAGTTGGACAAACGTGTGCACAAGTTGGAAAAACGTGTTAACTTGTTAACGTTTTTCCAAGGTTAACGTTCACTTAGTCTTACCTGCTTTGCCATTTCTGTCTGAATTAATTGAGTTGAATTAAATTTTAAAAGCGTCTCCGAACGAAAACAGACATACTATGTACCGGAGATAAGGACTTCTGTTTATAAAAACATTTGGTAATATGTTAGTTTAGTTAGATATATAATATGAAGGGAATAATCATGTACGCGTAGTTCAATATGCTGATTGTTACAGTACAAATAAAATCCGACATACAACAGAAATACAATATATACACAATTTATACAATTTACACTGTTATTATAAAGAAAATATGAAAAGGCATTAACAAAAAAAAATGTAACCACCATAAAGTAATACCTGGAAAAATGTGTTTTTTCTTGAATATATTTTTAGTTTTCAATATTTTAAGCTCATTGACGGTAAAATTTCGAGTTGAGAGATCTGGAAGAATAAAATATCCTTAAACCTAACATTGATATTGTATACGTCAGTGAGAAAGCTGAAGCACTTGAATGTAATTATATGAAATAACTTTGATCCACTTGAGAAAATATATTTACGTTGAAATACGCCACTTTTGGACTTGGTATATAGAATGGAAAATATAGTTTATAAATGTGATTCTTAAAGCGTAGATTCACTCCCTATATTTATTGAATTACTGAGAGTAATTGCAGCAGTAATTTCAGTTCATCTGCCTTTCTTAAGGTTCAGACAGCGGTTCTTAGAAAATAGGTATTAGATAGATAATAATAGGTACGTAGTAATTTATTAGATGTGTCGCTTACCTAAAGGTCAGAATATTGGAGGAAGAATTCAACGTGGTAAAATAATAGTAGTCATGTAACAAAAAATAGAAAACGAAATATTTTCCGAGTTATATCTTATTAATATCTTTAGATTTTATTTTTAACGTAGTGGGCTTAATCCTCAACAAAAGAAGCTGATATTTTACACACAGCTTTGATTTAGTAAAAATCATCGTTCGAAAAAAAAGTGTTTCAGAAATCTGTCACTAGAGGGCACTTTACCTAGAACATTTTCCCTGTATTTTATTTATTTACTCTGAGATTGGAAAACTGAATAGATTGGCTTAAGCAGAATCACGAAATCCTCAAAAATTGTTACTTTTGTTTGTTTGTTTGTTGTGCTTGTTAAAACCGATGGCTAATTATGTGTTAGATATGCAGCGGTTCTTTTATACCTTGGTCTCCCTCTTTCACCAAGTCTTCTGTGTATGTTGATGAATGTCTTAGCAGTCCTGTTAGGTAAAATCACAGTTACGGGTAAAATTCAAGCCGAGAATAAAAAATCGATTTGCGGCTAAACGATAATACTTATCGATTTCAAAATAAAAAAAATGTTCTAGGTAAAGTTCCCTCTGGTGACAGATTTCTGAAACAATTTTATTTTTTAAAAATAAATTTTGAACAAGCCATTATTACGATTTCAAATTTTTTTATATGACTTACTACCATTATTTTACCACGTGGAATCCAAACACCCTGTATAAATACTGAGTAATAGAGGGTCAAAATGAAACCACGGATAATTCAAACAGATACGTTTAAAGGACTTGGGCCATTTTTATCAAAAATGCATGCTCACTCTTAGTAAATAGCGTTAAATATCAGAACGTCCTCAGTTAAAACCACCATTGGTCCTGAGTCCCAAAAATTCTAGTGGTAAGTACCTTAAGAATAACCAGGTGTAAACGAAAATTTAACCCACCCCAATGACGTAAATTCAATTCAAGGAAACACTCTTTTTCATTTCCGGAGTCTCAACTTATGCACCGCCGCCGTCGCCTCAGTTAACGACTTTCCGATTATAACTCTAGTAATTAAAACGGGAGTAATTTTCCCCGTAATTTCGATTTCGGTTCGCGGAAGATGCGAATAGTCTCTCTCCGACTCGCTCAAGACCCTATTTTAACGCCAAATTACTTCGTAACTACGTCGTTTTTATGCGCCGACATAAAATCGAACTGCATTCGCTACCCTTCGTGGAAATATTTCAAAAACTTCGTACTGCATAAACATACGTACGTTTATAAAAGTCCTCGCAAACTAAATCGCGCAAAATTTCGTCCATTGTCTTCAACCGCTGAATATTTATAAGCCCGAATGCGAATTGAACATTTGGTTTTATTTAATGCTATCCTGCTCCGAACGGTGCTGTTATTCTAATCATTTACATTCCTGCGGATCTCTTTTTGCTTTGTTAATAAATTGGAATTCAAATAAAACCAAGTCAGTGATGCGTCGGTCAGTGAGTCAGTCTAGATTTCCTTATACTTCATTTCAGAAAACACTACCATACTTCAAACTAGAGCAGACTTCACTAGACAGATATGCACCACATTCTTCTTTATAAATGGTTTGGTTCCCATTCTTGTGGTAAAACAGTTTATATTGTGTCATGTCAAGATACGTGTAAACACAAAAGTTAGGATGATCGTAACCGATTATTTCACACACTAAATAACACAAAAATCATTTTCAATAACTGCTTCTTCTTCTTTTCTTCATTTTGGAACGTCGGGGATTCCGCTTTTTTTTCACTCTTGATTATAAACATAATTCTGACACGGATTTTACTGTTTTGATTTCCAGTATTGGTGGTGTCTGATCTTATCCCTGCTGCTGCCCTATATTTTTCACTCTTGAGTATAGTGATATTGTAACATGGATTTTACTGCTTTCATTTCCAAATCATTTGCATGCTATTTGAATAATCTGATCGTTAATACAGGCCTAATTGCTCCTTTACATATCTTTGCTTTGCTCTCAGCACTAAGATATTTGTTCCTATAGGATCTGTAGATGTCGTCAGGCATTTAGTTTTGTTAATGTTCACTCTCACGCTTAATCGCTAAGCTGCATGATGGGACAGGTAAAGTAACCGTTGTATATTGTCCTCTCGGTTTCTCCTATTTAATATCCCAATGTTTTAGATCGCTTTTCTATAATGTTATCTATTATTACATTGAAAATGAATGAGCCGATGGAATCCCCTTGTCCGATTCCTCTATTTATGTTTCGTTCTTTAGTTAGTGACTGTTTTTGCGTTATTTCTAATCGTATCAAACGGTGATTCACATTTTTTCTCTTGCAAGATTTTGATGGTATATGAGGGACGTATTCAGTCGAATCAATTAGTCATATCCACAAAGTAAAGAAAGGAGGATCGATTAAATTCTAATGACGTATCTATTATTTGAAGATTCCTCTTTTAATTTAATTTAGTTTTGTGGGAAAGTTTTTAGACTTTTTTTTTCTCGATTCGAAAAAAATAATTACAAGATTTGTATTCCGAAGTTTAATATAATTTAGTACAAAGTAACAAAGCAATATAAACTCAATATTTTTAAACAAGTGTGTGTTTTGATTAAGACCATAATGTCATTGAGTCATTTCAATAGCTGTATTCATTCAAGACTGATTTAAATTCGCATCAACCAAGGTCTAAATTCGCAATCCAGATCGTATGGTCTCGGTGGGTCTCTTAGATACAATGTCTTTGGCGACGCCCTTTTATGGTGATAATAGAACCAAAAATAACAAGCGGCGCGGTCACTCGAGAACTTTTAACCAAAACTGTAGTCTGCAGCAATGTTCGCCAGTTCTAAATTAGTGTTGTTTCCAGGCACGAGGAGCCCGCGCCAAACCAGTCCGAGAGGTAGTATTGCTCCTGAGTCGCTATCCCTTCGGACGAGCCCCAGAGGCAGTATCACGGGAGAACTGAGTTCCGAACAGCAACGTAGTCCGCGGGGCAGTATATGCCCGGAGAATGGTTGCGATAGCAACCGAAGTCCCAGGGGCAGCATCGTTACAAGAAGCAACCTCGCGTCCGATGTCAGGAGTTCGAGGGGAAGTTTGACATTGACATTTCAGGAGCCTCCGTTGAGCGAACGACGAGCTAGCGCCGATAACCATTCAGGTAAATTAAAAATATTGGTATATACACTCCGACCACCATTTGGAGTTTACTCTATTTAGCAGCTACGTTTTGTATTATGAGGTACCAAAATTTGGAGAGACAGGGGCAATCTGACTTCCGCTTCTGACACTCAAATTTCAAGTTATTTGGTGAAAACCACATATCGATATGTTTCTAAGAATCTCTTCTTTGTAAAATTAAATTTTAGTGTAAATTGCTCATTCAAAGATTTTCTTTTCGGATTTATAGGACAAGGTTTTTTTTTTTGTAGTGACATCTCATAAATATTTCTAATGAAGCCGCAATAAGACAAAAATTCAAGAAAAGATAAAACGTTTCCTTTATATCCTTTACCTTGATGATTTTTGGGTGATATTGGGGTGCGCTCTCTTGTTGTTCGATTCCTTGTTTCTCATTAATTTAAGGAAACAAATGGGGCAATGAATAATGGTTCTGAGAACATCTCGGTCGATATACAAACTCTGACCATAGCGAATTGTAATTTCAATTGATTTAGAGTAATATATAAATTTGGAGAATTGGAAAAATGGAGATATTTTGATGATGGATTACGATATACTGCAATCAATGTGGTTTGTGATTTTGATATTGGTTATATGGTTCTCCATAAGACTGCCAGAATACCAAATTATTTTGTATTGAGTCAATCCTGTTCAGTTCTTCAGTTAGAAGAATGGTTATCTACACGATGTTAAAATATTATAAGTAACAATACGTAAAATACTGCATAAAAAATAACACACGACCCGAAAAAGCAGGGGAATAGAAAACTGATAGGAACAAAAAACTTACCTTCTAAAACATTTTTTTTACTCTGCATACCAGGGAATTTTTTAAAGGGTGTAACAAAATGTTCTTTAGTAAATCATTCAAACTTGATTATTTTGGTGAATTGCAAATTCGGTAGTAGAATTTAAGTAGATATCTGGGTAATATACGAAGATACGGACTTATTCAACTTAAGTCTAAAGTTGTTTTGTAACATTCTTTTAGATACTGTTTAGTTACTGTCTATTTGTTTAGGAAATATCTAGTTAAGTTTCTTACGTATTCCTGACTATATAATCTTAATATGCACAATCTTGTAATTGGGCAGCCTAGTCTATCTGTGATGGTCTTTGGGTTTACAAATAATAAAATAAATATTCAAAAGTTAGTAATAATCATACGAACACAGTTTAAAGTTGTACCAAATTGAAAACAAAATAAATCCAGGGCATATAACCATAAATAAATCATAGAAGGTGACAGCTTAAGGCGGTTGAAATATGTACTCCCACAAATATTTGAAACACTGTTCATTTTTGTCTAGGGTTTTAACACACTGCTTCATCAAGCCAAGTTTGATATAAAAAGGAGGCAGTTAAACTTTTTTTCGGATCAACTAAGCTATCCCTTAATACATTTTTGCTCTTAGGTGTAAAGGCTTGTGCTACAGGACCATTCTATTTGAGTCCAATTTCTTACCCGACTATCCTACTCACAATTAAAGTTCCATGCTTTTTGTATAACTCCCCTGTTGTCCCAGGAGCATGCACAGCACTTTAAGGTCACCATAAAGCATCCACTGATATTTTTGGTAGTTTGTTTTCTTCAAAGAAGTCCTAAATTTTCATTTTCAAGTTTCTTTTAAATGTATCCAATGTTTAACGGGAACAGAGGTCAGTTCGTTACAATTGTGCACTAAAACGCACTTTAAACCAAACTTACTTGAGTCAATAAACGGGTGCCATTCTTTTTTTATATAAGGCAGATTTCCTAATTTTGAAACTAAGTTAGGAATATTGTTTAAATACTCTAGCGGTCCTTCCTGAGTGAAATATTGACATAACTCTTTTTCGCTAATAATTCGGACGCAGCCTGTTAAAGGTGAAAATCTCTAATTAAATCATTTAATTCGGAGTGGTTAAATACTTCTGCCTATCTGAAATTTGGTGTGAAATCTTAGTCATCTGGGTCGGATTCCTCTGATTCTGACCATAGGTCGTTTTCTACTTCTTTTGGGGCTGTTGGTGTCGGTACATCTGGTTCATGAGGTCGAACAGCAGAGTCACGATTGGGATACACAATTGGTTTCTTATTTGTTCTGTTGAATCCGTGAACATTACACGAACAGAAATAACAATCATCACTGTGGTTCCTAGGTTCTCGCGATACCATAGGAACACCACATCAACATTTCTTCCTACCTTTTGTCCAGTTTCTTAATGCTTCAACCGAAACGGAACAGACATTATGAGGATCCTAGGACTTTTTTAAACCAAAATAAGCGTGGAATACATTTTTCACAAAAGAAGTTATGTTTTGCCTTTGGTTTACCAGGACGTAACTACCACAAATATAACACAAGATTGCTTTCGAAAAATCGTCACTGGGCGGGGCAAGTTCGTAGCGCGTAACGCGAAGCAGATTTTTATTTTAAAAGGGAAGAGCTTCGCGGTTTCTTGTGGTAAAGGGACGCACTGTTTTTATATCGTGTTGCTGCGGACCACGGAAATCGATGTAATTTAATTGTCCATCCATAAAATGGCCTTCACATCTCGTCGAACTTCAAAGTAACAGCAAACATCGGTAAATATTAGAATTTTCACAAATAATAGCGTTGTCGAATGATATTTCTTCAAATATCTCGCGCCCCGTATAATTGACGAAACCTGAAACTCTCTCACGACACGTTTTACGGTACTGTTCAAATAAAATTGTCTCTTCTTTAGAAGTTTTTCATTTATCGCCAATAATTTACCCCCAAAAATGGAAATTTTTAGGACATTTTAGATATTTTTCCCATAAACGACACACCCTGTATATGATACAATCATGTTCGAAATAGAGGTTATAGCCCTGGATTTTCCTGGTTCCAGAATTTTTTGAAAATAGTAAATGGTTTTCGAGAAAATAAGTTTTTTCTGAAACCATGCAGTGTGCCGTAATAATCAATGATGTCATCGCGTCTTAACAGTCCCCGAAATAACGATTTCGATATGGATTTTCTACTCTGTTTTCTAGATTAGATTTTTGCCTATAATTTGAAAACCCTGTATATAATCGAAAAAATGCCTGAAATAAATGTTATTTCATTGAATCTTCTGCGTCTGCCGGTTGATTTCGGCTATTTCTTATAAGCTTATGTGGCTCGTGGAGGGTTAAAAAGGGGGCAAATTTCAATTTTTTAGCTCGAAAGTTATTCAGGAAAAACCTGGACGGGAACGGAGAACGGAGAACGGACAAACAGACAAAAAAAAATTTTTTTTCGAGATATAAAATTTCGATTCGATTCGATTTTCGAAAGTAACAAGTTATTTGGATTGTTCATATAATGTGTTCATTCCATATGTATACGTTCTAGAACACTAGAAATACGCAACAACGAAGACAACAGCCGCGACCACAGTAGCATGATGACCGATACAACCAAACTGCGCAATTACAGACATTTGAACAACAAGAATCGACAGATAAAATTCGATTTACACCTCAAATAAATTTTCAGAACACCTCTGGGAGCCGTAGAAGAAGATCGTTGAATGTTTGACTCCCTCGGCAGAGCGGGAAGTAATTGACTGAATTTATATTTCATTACATTGGGACATAGTTCCTGAGATTCGTACAAGGTGTGTTCAAAAAGTAAGGTGACTTTTGTAATTGTCAATTTGCAAGTTTACTTTCTTTTGTAAGACAGAAGCGTTAGAGGTGTTTTATATGCTTGGCGATTTTGTGCTGTCAAAAATGTAACAAAGTATTTGCATAATGTTTTTTGTAAAAGATGGAATATAGTGCTGCAACACACTTGAAATGTTGACAACGGCATATGGTGAATCTGCTTTGAGCAAAAAATGTTTATACCTAAGAGGTATAAGCTGTTCCAAGATGGCCGAGAAGGCGCCGATGACGATCCTCACTCTGGACGCCCCAGTACGTCAATAACTGATGAAGCGTTGAAGAAATTAATCAAATGATGTTAACAAATCGTCGAATCACTATTAGAGAAGAGGCTAAAAACTTCGGCATCTCTATTGCCTCGTGACATGAAATTTTTTCCGAAATTCATGTAGCAGCAACATTTATTCCGAAAGTGCTTAATTTTGAACAAATTGACAATCGAAGGAGCATCACTCAAGAGCTATTCAACGAAGTCAATGATGATTCTGATATACTGGTAGCGAATCACGTGTGGGAAAATGATGTGGAAACGAAAGCCCAGTCGTCCCAGTATCGCCAAGACCGAAAAAAACATGTCAGGTTCGATCAAATGTCTAGGTTCTGCTTAATGTTTTCTCTGGCGTAGGGCATCAAGAGTTCTTATCACAAGGTCATATGGTCAATAAGTTATGCACCTTTTGCGAGAAAAACACGTTCGGAAATGTGGGAAAGCAATTCATGGATGTTTGCAAAACAATAATGCATCTACTCACTCATTATTGTTTGTATCTAACTTTTTGGCAAAAAACAAAACCACAATCATGCTTCATCCACCATATTCACCGGATATGACTCCCTGCGAATTTTTCCTGTTCCGAAAACTCAAGAAAGCCATAAAAAGAAGGAGGTTGGGAACGATTCAGAAGATAAAGACAAAATCGCCGGAAGAACTCAAGTCTATACGAGACGGTGCTTACCAGAATTGCTGCGAGGATTGGAAAAAAACGTTGGCCAAGTGTATTATATCTAAGGGGGATTGCTTTAAAGGGGACAACATTAATTTTGATGAACGAATAATAATTTTTTGATAAAACTTACTTTTTGGACACACCTCGTGTATGCCGTTTCACCCACGTACAAATAGCGCAAGCAAATTCTAGTTAAAAAAACGCGATTCGGATTTTTCAAAGGAAAGTTGTTTTTTCCTTTTGCGCCTATTCCTTTGAGCGACGCGGCAAGTGAATGGGAAAAAAAGGCTCGCCAAGTTTACCTTAAGACCCTTGTATCATATTCTACCGCTCGTTTTTATATCGACGTCGAAAATGAATGGTGCCGTTTGA